CGGTGTGCAGAATCCCCTCACTAATTACACTGTAAATGATAATCTACCTTAACCAAAATCAAAGTAGACTATCACTCACCCACACCAGATGGAAAACTCTACAGACTGTCGGTTCACACCCCATCACAAGCCAACAAAACATCCACGAAACAAAGAAAGGTTTGTCACAGCCAAAAAATACACTCCAGACACGCCGCTGGCACTAGAGGCACAACACATATATATATATATATATATATATATATATATATATATATTTCACCTATTATCCTAGGAATTAAAAATGTCGGGGGTTTGCGGGCACACTTAGCCGCCACGGCCATGATCCTGACCGCATGTGGTCAGCGGGCCCACAGTCATGGCGGCGGGTGATACATAGTGTAGAAGATGAGTGAAGAGTGCGGTATATGAGAGAGTAGTGGGGATAAACGGAGAGAAGTGGAGAAAAAAGAAGAAGAAAGTTAGAAAAGGTGAGGGATCAGTGGTAGGATTAGAGAAAGATGATGAGATGATGGAGGGGGGAGAGAAAAGGGTGGGGGGGGTTGATTTCTAAGAGGAAAGTTTGTGACGAGCCACTTTCTGTAGCGTGAGATTTTCTGCACGATTGCAATAAGGGGTCCTAAGCTGAGAAGGTTGGGCCAATTACGGGAGATTGGGATGGATGGGAAATTGCATCAGTGTCCTCGCTTCTTTGTCTTTTTTGTCCCCTCTTTTCGGATGGTTGGGTTCGGAGCCGGGTGAGTCCCGGGACGATCGATTGATTGATTGGCTGTGTCTGCGGCGAGCCGCCAAGCGCGCGATTAATAAATGTTGACGTCATTTCTTTTTAGTTTGGTTTTAGAACTTGTTGGGCGCGGACATCGCGCGGGGAATTGCTTCATTCTCTTAGATTTTTTTTTGAATTCTTTTTCGAATTTTGTCGAGCCCCGATGGCTCTCGGAATTGTAGACTTTCCTTCCGGAACCTGTACTTTTGTTTTTTTTTTCACATTAGTTACGAATTAAGGAATTTAGTAATTAGGACTTTCTTTTACCGCACGGCGCCTTTTTGCTTATGCGCTTCTTTATGCGGCTGCAACGGAATTCTGATTAGCTGGCGCCTTTAATCGGGTGTGTAACTGTAATTTTGGGCTGGCGCCATTGTAACTGTATCCTCCTTCTTGCGCTTCGTCTTTCCTGCCCTTCTTCTTTTTCTGTTGCTGCGTTTTTGTAGCCACGGTCTGCATGATCAGATCGATGTGTGGAGAGTGGCTATGTCCCCCACGCCGCGGCCCGGTCATGCAGAACGTAGGCGTTCGCTCTCTTATCTCCCTCCTAAGTCTTGATAATTCCGTGTTCTTCGCGCAAGCATGCACGCTAAAAATTTTGGTTGCGCGATTAGTTAGCTCTCTTAACCGGCAGTGGAAGGTCGGGTTGCGCGATCATAGAGGGTCGATACACGAGCGAAGTAAGAGGTGAGTAGAGAAGGAGTCGGGCGACCCGACGAGCTGGTGTCAAACGCGCGGGGTTGACGCGGGCCACGACGGACTGTGGCCGCGGGCGAACCTGACGGGTGCGAGAGGACTAAGCGGGGTGACGGATCCATGCGTTGGTGCGCGACGACGGACTTTCTGCATCGGAGAAGAAGAGAGAGGAAGGGAGAGTTGAGGTTGATGGACGCGGAGTTGCTGTTTCTTTTATCTTTTCTCCCTCCTGTCTCGTGTATATAAATTTTGATTTCGGCTCTGGGCGATCTGCCCGATTTCTGTTTGTCGGAATTTGGGCTTGGGTTTTTGCTCACGCTTGTCCTTACGATTTTCCACCTCTGATGCACTATGTCTATGATTGCTGAATGAATGGATGTATGGGTGCCATGTTTGATTGCTTATCTTTCTACCGGATCCTTGTCTTTTGTTTGTCGCATTTGATGCACTCGTAAGTAGAATAGGAATTTTGCGCAATCGACAATCCTGTCCTTGTCTTCGCGTGACTTTGATTGGGCTGATTGTGGTCGTGGCATCTTGCATGCTCAAAACAACACGGAGTGATTAGACTATCGGATGTCGGGCTCGGCAAATGCCGCGCGAGGACATGTGTAAAACGCGATCTGAGTTGCGCACTTACACGTATTCCCGGGCGTCGATTCATCAATCCCAAAGGGCCCGTCGATCACAGGCGCACTGTCTGATCGAACAGGGCGATCCCGGGGTCCGCAACGGTGCAGTCGTCCCGCACGAACACGTGTAAGCCCGACGTAAGTCGCGTGGCCTGCACACTATGTTGCACCCCCGGCTGCGCCCGGGGGGGTCTCGTCGGCCGCGGTCTCGGTTGCGGCCAAATCGGCCGTGTTCGGCCTCGACCGACCAGCCGAGTACGGTGCAACATTTTTTTTTGCGCTTTTTCACCTCGGAAAAAAAAAAAAAAAGGGCGTGTAGGGCTGAAAAAGCCCTACACGCCGATTTTTTTTTTTTTCGTATTCGACATTCCGCGCCGCGCGAAAAAAAAAAAAATGGAACCAAAAA